GTGAAGCAGGGACAGCCAGTAGCCCGGAGCAGAGTGAGGAATGTGGCCAGCAGGCTCAGGGTGAAGCAGGGACAGCCAGTAGCCTGGAGCAAAGATGGCCACTGGTTGGGACCACTGGAGCCCAGCCAGACTATGTGGAAGCCCTTACAGAAAGGCTACAATATCTACCTTTTTAGCTATATTTCTTATTTTGCTAACTTATACTGTAATGTAGTGTAACGTTTTCCTATCTTTTCTCTATTTTTTGTACCTACGATTGTACCTAGGTTCTTTGTACCTAAGATGGCGCTGTGTGTTCGCAACATTGTACACTTTTCACTGTACTTCTGTTCTTTTGTAAGTTGAGTACACAAGACAATAAACCTAAAATGACTATACTAACAAAAAGTAACTTGCTCCTCTAATAGCTCATGATAATACAGTTTCAGATACTATGTTCCTATGCTTTTGACATCAAAGTCATGAAGCAATTTTGCAACGATCTTTTGAAAGGTACTGACTAGTTTCAGTGTTTTAAACAGAACCTGGCAAAGCTGTACATTCAGAATTTCTGCTTTTGGCTTAGGTTTTTTTTTAACCTCGGGAAAGGAGATGTGTGTGTATATTAAGAGAAGTAAATACCAGAAGGCTACAACCACATGTGAAAATGTACTTTTATAAGTTGATGCCTTAATATTGATGGAAGAGAGGGAAGAAATAAATGCAGGCTGCTTGCCAGCAAATCCGGGCCTAGATTTTTCATGTAGCATCCCTACAACAAATTTGCAAACAATTGCCTGTATACTGCATTGCATGGTAAACAATGTTTGGGTATTCCAGGTTTGCATTCAAATTCTTTCAAATATTTCACAGCATTATTGAATCCACAAGTCTATATTAAAGTCATACCAAAGCACAATGTGCACAAGACGAGCATTTCTAACAATTCTTCTGCAGCTTGTTGCTGACTTGGCAGTACGATTACTCGGGCTTTGTCTTCACCATTGACCTTGGTTAAATGAGTTGAGAGAAATGCAAAATTCAGAAACAAAAATCTGCAAGCATTAATAGTTTGAAGTGACATCAATCTATGTCTTCCATCAGAGAAATTACAGGCGAATACAAGCAGATGATAAAGTATCATATGTTGGACGCCATGATATCATAAGCATGATTCTTAAAGGAGTTCTGACATACAGACAATGAGGTATTATACAAAGCAGAGCAGAATATAACAAAGACAACAAGGTGCAGGCATGGATGAACACAGCAGGCCAAGCAGCATCATAGGAGCAGAAAGGCTGACGTTTCGGGCCTAGACCCTTCATCAGAAATGGGGGAGGGGAAGGGGGTTCTGAAATAAATAGGGA